TAATCTGGAAAATACTTAAAAGAAGATTTTAAGAATCCGAATATAAAAGTTATCAGGAGTGAGAAACAGAAATGTTCATATTTTAAAATCCAGGTTAGGGCCAGGTATGTGGTCAGAAGCCAGGATCCATGATGAAAATGGCCGACGCCTCCTTGGAATACCAAATGAGACACATCACCATGGATGATTTATGGAATTTCCTCTTTAGATCAGAAATACTTCCAAAACCACCTCCCACTTGGTGCTTTAGCACTTCCAGTAAATGAAGTCAAAAGTGAAAATATACACAAATCCCTCCTTATTTTGACATTTCAAACCTCAATAAAGGCTCGGTTCCACATGCTGGCTTAAAATTAGACGAAGTTTAGTAGAATAAAGAAAGAGAAGGAAGTTTTTTGTTGGGTTATTTTTAATATGCTTCAAAGCTTGTTCAGCCCTTTTTTTGGTAAATTTTAAGACACAATTTAGAAAGAGGAAACAGGTCCCTGCAGGGACAAACTAAATTCCAAACTCACATGCTCAAAAGGGTGTTATCCTTACTTAGCATCTAAAAGAAAATGAATGGCTTCCTGATGATTTACCAATATTTGTGAACCAAGATGGATTTTGGGTTTGATCACTATGATCACCTCCATTTTGTGATGGAGGGGGAGGAGGGGGGAGAGAAAGATTGGGGGGGAGGGAGGGAGGGAAGGAGGAGGGATGGAAGGAGAGGGGAAAGAAGGGAGAAAAACTGATCGACTGATTTGAAAGTCATTAGGTTAAGTAGGGATCAGAATCCAGAAAGATGCACCTCACAAAGTTTTCCCAAAACAGAGCTACTGTCTACACACCAGAAGCTGATGGAATCAAAAATCTTCAGCACTATCTCCTGCCTAATTGAATTGGTACATGTAATGGGAGGAAGCTGTTTCTCAGAACCACTAAATAAGTGGTGCCGGGAAAAGGAGGAGGCCAACAAGGCAGGCTGGAGACAAACAGGATTGGTGGAACAGGCACCCAGATTCTCCAGAAAGCAAATCCTGTTTAGCCCTTATCCATCCAGGTCACGGTGAAGCCTGTAGCGTAGCAACTTGCGCCTTTAAATACTACTATTCATTTGGTCATTAGTTTCTCTTGGTTCCTTTCATTTGCCCGTATTTTTGATAGCCAAATCCTTAAATGAAAGCAGAGGCTATGAGAATGTTGTCAAATTTCAATAATGCTCAAGGGGGGGAAAATCGCCAATCTCCTAATGGTTTGGTCTAACATTCTTCCTGGAGTTACCCAGTAACAGATTAATGTAGCTAAGCATTGTAACATTGAGTACTAAGAAAACATGCCTGAAATTTACAAGTAGGCCCCACTTGCTAGTTTAAAAAAAAAAACAAAAAAAAAAAAAACCCACTTCCCGCATTTTCACTGCCATGTTTCTTTATTTATTTATCTTTAATTTATTGTGGTGTCAAAACCCATGTCTGGTCTTGGAAGAATTTTGGCACAAAGTTGGCTTTTTATAGTACCAGACCATTAAAACTACAAAACCTCAATTAAAAAAGTGCCAGAAGAGTTTGGTGCTCAGTACCAAAAATGATATAAAGCCTGCAGATGGGGAAGGAAAGAAAAGGAGCTACTCTTGCAAGAAATCCAAGTCTAAGTCATGTAACTAAAATCCTTGGTGCTGGAGCAACCAAATATAGTCTATGTTTTAATATACTATCCAACTCATATTCCTAGGTCCTGATTTTGCACATAGTCTAATCCCAAACCTTGTAAATCTCTAAAGGTCAGAAAATGTTTTTTTGTTTATTTGCTTGTTTTGGGGAATGCCCCAAGTCTGACGGAATACAGGATATTTAAATGATAAAATTTGCAACAAATCCTGAGATGGATTAGCTACCACCCTGCCCCACTTGTGTCTGATTAAATGCAAATCATTCTTGTGATGCAACCATAAAAATGGGATAAGGTATGTATACCTGTTTTACAAGCATAAGACCAGAAGTCATGAACTTGGATCTTTAAATTGTCGTTCTGACAGCAGTCCTGCCCAGGAAAATGATCTAGCCTCCAGGAGTGAAGATCCACATTCTGCTCCATGCCTCCTAGCCCAATACTGGTAGCACAGAAATAATAAATATCTGGCAAATGAAGGAATTCACCAACCACATGGTGCTGGAGTGAGAATTAATTAGTCCAGAGTACCACGAAGATGGAATGATTCTGAGTGGGGACAGTGTCATGGGGTGATTTAGGGCCTCTGGAATCCCCTCACTGGTGCCAATGTCGTGGTCAGTAAAATGGAAGGAGTAACAGTACCTCATTCAGAGAGTCCTGAGAGAATTAAATAAGATAATGGACATAGAGATTGAGAACACGGCCTGCTTGCCACACAGCAGCATTCAATAAATGCTATTAATATTATTAACATTCAGTAGCATTATAATCAGAAATAGCAACATGTGACATTTTCCCTTATCCTAAGACTAAATATGAACAAGACCTCCCCAAATCCCAGATGTGATCCAAACCCAATCAATCCATCAGCAAACGGTTAGCCTGCCTATGAGTCAACATCCTAGCATGCCTGTTAGCCAACTCTCCCTATAGCTAAGAAGACAAGTCTTTTTTAATATAAGCAAATCATTCCGTTTAAGAAAACACTGGTAGTGAACTTCTTGATTTAGATATATGGTACTTATTTGAAAACTGGAGAAGCGACTTACGGCACATATTTGAACCACATTTTAGCGCCTTCTCTCTATGCCTGTCCTCTAGTTCTGAAGTCATGTGCTGCCTACGCAGACAGCAGAAAGAAAGGCAGAAACCCAAGAGCTGTTGCCTGGAGATCAGGCCCCACACCTCTAACGTTCAGGACTCCTGACCTTGTCTGCCTTGGTTTCCAAATCAGCCTCCTCTACATTTGCACACCCTTGCCCTGCTTTCTCCTGGCCACAGAAGACTACTCACCTTTTCTACCACCTCGTCTGGCCTACATTACCTGACTCTAGGACGTTAAAGTGATCACAGATGATCTATTTGGCTCCTTACTAGCTTGATTGCTGGACCCGCCATGATGCCTCCAAATTTTGGAAAGGCACCAAATTGGCTTTTTTTTTTTCTACCTATATTATGTGTCATCTTCACAATGAGCCTATTATGATCCTGTTATGTAGGTATTACTATCCTTATTTTATAGACAAGGAAACATTTACTGTACTTAAGTTAAACAACTTACCCCTGGATAGAATCAGACCTACAGGGCTTTGAATACAAGCTCAGGCACCAATTACTATGACTTCAACTGATTTATTTAACTTGGAAAGAACACAAACTAGGTATGGCCTGGTAGCAACAATTAATAGTAAAATGATGACTAAAACTGGCCCATGCTATTAAAGAAGGAAATTTTTAGGTACAATGAATGAATGATTACTCACTTAGAAGGAGAGATTTCTGTCCATTGTAAATGCCCCAGAAGATTACAAAATGCACCTAAATAGCAGTGACAATAACCACAGCACAGAATTAGTTTGTCTAAAATCAAATAGCTGCCAAGTGATCAGCACAGGATTTGAACCCACATTATTAAATTACCCTGTTTCAGACCCAAGAGTAAATGCACTATACATGTGGGGAAAACAAATTTTTCAAGCTAAAAAAAAAAAAAAGAAAGAAAAGAAATCTCCAGTATTTTGTTCTTAGTTCCCAGTTTATATCTTGCTATGCAGTACACCACACAATGGTCACTTTTGTTCAGCTCAGCAGGGCTATTTATATGTTGTAACTCTCAGTGCTTTTGGGGACTATGTTCTTCCTTCTCTGAAATCTAAAGATGGGCGTGTAAGAAAACTTCCAGGATAAGCGAACTCTGTTTCAGTGAAACAACTAGCCATGCCAGGCCCACCAACTCCAGGAACACGGACACCCCACCTCCACCAGGAAAGCAAAGTAAGAGAGGCTGCTCAGCCTCTTCCTGCAGGACTGCCCTGTCCCAATCACAGAGAGAGAGGGGGCACACCCCCCTCTCCCAGAAACCCACTTCGACAAAAGGAAAACAGAAATTGGGCTATGATGAGCCTTGCCCTGGTTTTTAACAGGCACAGAACAGGGGCATCTACACAGCTCACAAAGACCTGAAGGAAGAGAAACATTAGATGCCTTTTTAAAAATGTGCAGCAGAGAAACAAGAAACAGAGGCAAGTTGTGGGCAATCAATACTTCCCCACTCCCGTAGATACGCAAAGTCATGGAGGATAGGCCAGTCTGTGGTACCAAGTCTGGGAGGGGAAGGAACAGATCTTTCTGAGACTGTTCGCTGACACTGCTGAGGGAGTGGGTGGCAATATTGAGTCTAAACCGAGCGCGTCTCCATCCCACCACCACAGCTCCTTACACTTCCCCAGGAAAACAAACTGCCTCACAGATGCATCGATTTCGGAGTTGAAATATAAAACGGGAAGAGTAATTTTTAAATACTGAGGCAGCTATGGCAGTTGGCGAGGCAGCTGAGGGACGATGCTAGCAACCTGGATAGCATGCCATTTCAACTGCCGGGAACTTGCTCTCTTTGGAGGAGGATATCCCAGTATGGAGGCTAACACGAGGAGAGAGGCTCCGGACGGTCACAAGGGATCACAGATCTCGTTTCAATATGGCTAAATAATAATAATAATAATAATAATGATAATACTTATGGGGAACATTTGTTAAATGTGTACCATATGCCAAGCAATATGCTAAGCACTTCACCTGAATTATCTCATTTAAGCTCATAATCACCCTACAAGATAAGGTGGACATTTTACCAATATGGCAACAAGGCTAACGGGCTGCAACCAGCTCTAAACTTTAAGGAGTCCTTTTAGGGCTTCCATACATCATGGAAGCAAAAGTGGAGAGCACTCCTGGAATGCCAAAGTACCCAAATAGGGGTGACGCCTACGTTCTAACAACAAAAATGTATGAGAATCCCAGGACTGACATTTAATAGCCGTGTGACCCTTGGCCATGTCACTTACCCTCTCTTTGGCTCAGTTTTCTTCTCTGTAAAATGGGGATGATGATAGCACTGCTTCGCAGGGTTGCTGAGAGGATTAAATGAGATAATAGAAGTAAAATACTCAGAGTCTTGTGTATTAGTAAATGAAGTACGTAGGCATAGGCTGTTACTATTTTAGTACTGTCACTAAGGAACATATTTTACCTAAAGGGCTACTTAATCTGGCTCACATGCTACCTCCCCGAAAGCACCTTTGCTGTCTACTGAAAAGAAGTTGCTCCCCCTTCTGTGTTTAATGCTCTGTTCACATATTGTTAGAGCTGTTGGCACACTATGAGTATTTCACCCACAATAGGTAATTTACACGTATGTCTCCTCCACTGACTGAACTACTGAATGGAACTGTTTCTTACTACAGTTGCACTCGGCCTGCCAGGACTGAGCCCACTGCACTGTTACTAATCAACGGCAGCAGCAACAATAGCAACAGTTAACATTCTCATGACAAGAGTTTTACCCATGATATCACATCTCATCTTTACAATAATCCTGTGACATAGGCATCATTTAGAGTCCTACTTTATAGCTGAGGAAACTGCAGTGTAGAGGCTGAGTCACCCACTTCGGGTCACACAGCTCAGTGGCGGGGCCAACACTCAAGTCCATCCAGGCCCTCTGAAGATCCACAAGCTTTGTCCTCTCTGAACCAACGTGATCTACTGACTCTCAGTGGTGAACTGGAAGCATTAGTCTCACGAGGCATTTTATTATGAAAGTTTTCTGAGTATAGGTAATAAAATACGGGAGTCTTCAGTGAAATTAAGGTAAATGAAGTGTGTATTTTGGAGTGCCCTAACTTGCCCAACAATTCATCTCCACTGTGCTTAGGTACAGTACAAAAAGCAGAAAATAGAGTGGTAAATATGATTCCTGTCATTTTGGGACCGGAGACAGTTATAAAATGAGTAATCAAATAAATCAACAAGACCATTTCAGATTGCTAAAAGTGCCATGAAAAAAAAATATATATGAAGGCCAATTTTAGATAGAATGCTCCTCCACAGATATATCATTTGAACTGAGACCTGAAGGCTAAGAATAAGGCTAGCCACTGAAGGAGCAGGGGAAAGTGCTTTCTAAGCACTCAACAAGTAGCAAAGAGGTTGGCAGGTTCCAAACATCAAAAGGAGACCAGTAAGGCATCCAAGGAGTCAGTGGTATAGAGTGAGGTTGGACAGGGAGACCATGTGGTGTCTGTAGGCCATGGCAACAAGTTGGATTTTATTCTAAATCCATGGGAAACAATGAAAGGTTTTTAGGCAGAGGAATGATAAAAACTAATTTAATTCTTTAAAGACCAGTCTGGCTACTGTGTGAAGGAGTAAGAACAGAATAAGGGTAGGAATACTCAGGATTACTGAAGTAGTCTCAGCAAGGAAGATGGTGGCTAGGACTAGAGATGTTTTCTTTTTTTCCCTTTGAATTCACAAACTTCCATATAAAAATGGGAGATGTGTTCTATACTTATTCTAGTTGTCTATCCACATTCGACTTCTAGTGTCTTCAGAGTTCAGAGAGATCTTAACTTTCTTCTCTATTGTCTTCATTGTACATATGTGGAAACCGAGGTACAGAGAGGTTACTCGACTTGCTAACGCCATGCAAGTAATTTACAGCAGATTTCACTCAAAGTCAGATGTCAGGAGGCAAAGATATAATAATAAAACCTGTAAGTAGACAAAGTTTTCTGTTGTCCCTAAAAAGCCTGCCAAGATTCCGTATTTGAAATCTGCAACTACCCTTATATTTCAAAGTCTTTTTACAGCGTTTAAATCTCACATTAATTCTCACTTGAAGATTAAGTAGTCCAGCATTCAGCTCTGACACATAGATGGAACCTACAGGGTTAAAAGAATGTAAGTAGAGTCAAGTCAGAGAATTGTGGGTTATGTCTGGGAGAAGTTCATAAAAGTAATTTTAAACTTCTCTGCTTTCCTTCAGTTCCTTCCTTCGTGTTTATGTGTAAATTATACCTTACTCTCTAGGTTGCATTTTGCCATTTCCCTCTCGTTTCCCCAAGAAAGCTCCCCAGTGTGACAATGCTTTAAAAAAAGGGCCAGTATGAAGTTCCTCTGAGTTCCTGCTCTCCTCAAGCACGGCTCCTATCACACAATAATGTGTTATTTTGTTGAATTTTGGCATCCATCTAGCTTGTTTGGTCAGAAGCCAAAAAATTAGAGTGTGTCGGTCCACCAGTTTCTCAGCAGAGAAGCTCTCTTCTCACCCAGCGAGTGTGCTGTACCCTTGGCCTCTGGCCAAGAAGGGAAATCCATTTTACATAAAGAATGCACAAAGCTCAAGTGCTCAGAGACTTTTTACCTACTAAAATAACTTTATGGACAAATGCCAGTCTGCTAGACACATTCTGCAGGAACATTTGGCATGCAAAACAAGGTAAAGTGCTCTGTGGAGGTAGCAAGTTTTTTAGAAACAAGGAAATGGCTGTGTGTGCCCTCGTGGCACGTCACGTGGCTTGGCACGGCCGGCGTGATTGGCTGCGGCCGAGTAAATACAGCCGCCATGTAAGGAGCGGAACGTCGCCCTTCGCTGGCTTCTTAAAATGGCGGCCTGAGTCCGCACCAGGAGAAGCAAGCTGAGTCCCACTCTCCATTTCCCCCCTGAAGTTTTTTGTTTTTGTTTTTGTTTTTAAATAAACCTTACGGATTTGAGTAGAAACAGATTTCTCACAACTTGCTTCTCCGGCTCAATTTCACAGTTCGGCATACACTCAGGCTCTGTCAAAAGCTTGACAATGTTCCAGGGAAAATATTAACTGTAAACTTTCCAAGAGGATTTAAAGGAGCAGGCAGAAACGTCAGGAAGCCCTCCCTTTTGAAAGCGTATCCCAAGTTTGCCGCCTATATACGTTTTGCAAAGAAGCACATGCAGCCCGAGCTCAAATGACCTCCAGTATGGTCCCACTTCACCATGTCACACAGTGGAAAGGGGAAGAAAAAAAAAAAAAAGGACACATCCTCTTTGGCGAAAAGGCACGGAGGTCTCTCCCTCTCCCTCTCAGGCCTGACCAGTTGAACACTGCACACTCTGATGTATAAATATTTGCCTCTGGCTAAAGTTCAAGCAGCCCAGTGTGGCTGCCAGACACAACAGAAAACCAACATCCAAGGGAAAGTGTTTACTGCAGTGGTGGCCAAAGAAGCGACTGCCAGCAAAAGATCGCATCTGATTGGCTGGGCCTGCGTGTGGTGTTATCATAAAGCACCTGGCCACTGGCCCCTGGCCACTGGGGTGTTCCCATCCTTTCAGTAATGGTTAGGTCCTTTAATGCACAGCCTTGCCACAGTTAATACAAGACCAAGAGACATGCCGATGGTTTTACACGTGTTCCTCCACAGCGAGGGGCCTGAATGAGCCAAACCCCCCGTATATCTGCTACCACTACGGCAAAATAAGGGTTTGCTCCTTGAAACTACCTAGGTAGGGCGCGTGACCTTTATACACACTCCCACCTCACAAAACCACTGGCATTTCTCAGGTCCAGCATCGCCAGCACACCTCCAGTTCTTGTCCCTATGTATTCTGTAATTAAATTCCTCAATCATCATTTGGTGAATTTAAGCATCCTTGAAATTCCTGCCAGAAAATAAATTAGGAGACTTCTGATAGATAGGTACAATAGGCTATTTTAAATAAAGCCGTGCATCCTTCAAATTCTCTGCAAAAACCAAAATATACATGTGTCCTTTTACTGGTTCTATAGTTCTGAAATAGGTGGAAATAAGAGAAGCTGCCCATCAAAAGATTAAGATCTTTAATAGGGATAAAGGAACTGAATGAGAAAAGGATCTTGAAGAAAATCTTTTCAGGGAAGTTATGAATTCATAGTTTATGCTAAGCATGTAGCCAGCAGGGCAAAGTCTTTTCATGGTTTTTAGTATTCAGGGCAGTCTGAATACAATCAAGATAAGTCACAAAAATTTTAAATCATTGTCATCCACATAACATTTCTATCTTCATAAACAATAATGAATGTATCAAATTTTTCCTTAATGTTGCAAATGAAATGCTTCTGTTCAGTTGAACTGAAAAGTTATACAGAAAACAGGACAGAAAAATCAAGGAATGTGAAGGTAAGAACTTCTTTTAAGTAAAATTTTTGATGTAATGGAACAATAATTTAGGTAAAGCAAGCCAAGCCGTTATGATTTCATCTGTTTCAAATAAAATACACATTCACTTAATTGAAACATTTGCTGTTTGCTGAAAATAAAGAAGATTTTATATCCGTACACAATTCAGAGTTCTAACTTAGAAAATTCAAGGTCCTGAATCTTGACTGATCTTGCTTAAAGAAATTTCTGCATCTGAACCTGTCGCAAAACTAAAATAATATATCAAATAATTCCGTTTTCAATTGTCTGTAAAACTTTAACGACTACATCAGTCTTGTGTAATCTAATTCTTAACCAAATGTGACACTAAGGTTGATCTGTGTTTGACCTCAGAAGCCCAGGACTTATAGTATCAAGTTTGGCTTCCAAGAGATCCCAACGAATCATGGGCAAGCGAATCACAGAGGAATGTTCTGTTCCCAGCTGTGAACATGACAGAATTAACTCTGAGACGCTTCTTCCTGCTGCCCTCATGGACAGAAAGGTCAAGATGGTTAGCTCTTACAGTCTCAGTACCAACCGTCAAAACAACACGCATGTTAAAAATAGATTGTCTGTAGGCAACTAACACATAAATGTAGAAAAAATTTTAAATAAAAATAGTTTTAATATATTCAAACTTCAGCTTTAAGTATTTTAAAGACTGTAACATGAAGCCAAGGAGAAAAAGGACCAAACAATAATTTTCCCAAGTGTATTAACTTCACAAAACTTTGAGTCTTAAAATTTAAAAAACAACCATTCTGACCCATGGATGACACTTTTCTTAGGAAATTCCTTGGATTCACCAGCAATTCATTGGGAATTAAAGCACAAGAGGCAAATTTACCACTTTTATTTGTTTATATTTTGATAACTGCATTTTTCTCAGCTCAATTTCTATGGAAATAAA